GCCCGGTCGGTAGAGAGCGCGCTTAGGTGATCCTCCGAAACGCATGCAAATCTTAGCACGAAGCAATGCGTGATCGGAGCCTAGATAAGTTGACCAGTACGATCGGCAGTCCGTTACGCTTCCGCGCCATCTGTAGCTGATTGCTATGTGGTCAAGCTGGGGGCACACTTGCGTTTGAGGGCGGGCGCCAGGTAGCAGTGTGTCTCCTCGAGTGCCGAAAACTAGTGCTCGAAAGATGCAAGCGATGGTCAGAGCAAAGAGCAAGCAGTCTGTCTCCATTGTCTGATCGATTGCCACCGATACCAACTCTACCCCCAGGGTGGTGTTCGCTTGGTGGAAGGCGGCCAACCCGTGCGTTAAAGTCCCCGGCAGGAATGACTATAACAGTCCGTTTGGAGGAACGCAGAAGTTCATGTAGTTGTTGGTAGAAGCTATCTTTAACTGCATCCGGGCTGCAATCTGTAGGGGCGTAGGCGGAGACAACAAATAAGGCACGCTTAACATCTCGACGCCTGCTTACGTTACATGAACCTCTTAGTCTGACTGCGCATAGCCGACCGTTGACTGGGATCCAGTCAAGCAGAGCTGATTCAGCCCTGGCACTCATTGCAACCCCAACACCAGCTTGGCCAGTGGCGGCAGCTTCTGGGTCTCCGGAAAGCCGCAAGTGGTATTTCGCGTCAGGGTTTACCGGTGAAACCACCCTGATGACTGCGCTAGAGTCTTGTAATCTGGTCTCTGAAAGGCAACAGATGTCTACCGAAAGCGTTTCAAGAGTACGGGCCAGACATGCTTGTCATCCGATCTGCATCAAACTTCGAACATTAAACGCTGCGAGGATGAATGGAGAACCAGGTCGAAGAAGAGTTGGAGCTTCGGTGGAGTGATAGGCGGTTGCGATCGCAGGAGATTGAAAACCGGGAGTTTGGCTGTTGCTTCCATCAGTTGCGAGACGCGGGTCGTTTGTGACGGTGACCGTATAAGACATAAGAGAACACATAGGTGAAGGAGGGGAGGTGGGGTGATCGGTGAGTGGAGGTTGAGCGGTTGAGTTAGCATAGAAGTTAGGCATAGCAGAAGCAGTAGTAAGCAGTGTGGTCCATGATTCGTCAGTGGGCGTGATACTACCCGGTTGCCCAGGCCGAAGTAGAGGGTTGTCTTAAGGGGCCCTACCCCGAGCCTCTGATCAAAGATCTAACCTACAAGGCAGCAAGGCGATGTGAGGACGTTGCAACCCGTTGGGAGCCGGTGACCAAATAGATGATTCATACACCTTTCGGTCCGTGAAGGACCAGGGGCCCAACACACCCTTGAAGTACAATGCCTCTCAGGGAGGGGCAAGGGGCAGTGACTTTATTTAGTGGCGAGTCACATCTACCACGTCGCAGTGTTGTTATACAGATATTTGTGACTTTTTATAAGGAAAATGCTTGCCGGGCGAAAACCCACCACGTCCTGGAAGACTACCGCCGAACCATTTGCTGGAACGGGGAAAACCCGAACCACCCAGCGGGCACCACGAGGAGGTTGTTCGGCAAGCCAGCCATACCGCAGAACTGTGTTGTCCAGTTAACAATTGTGTAACCGCGTTTCGTAGGGTATGCATCCACATGTGACGCATCCCAAACTTGAGTGAATAGTGTTTATTTTGTTTAACTACTATTCTTTGCCTTGTTATGGGTGACGCCGGTGCCGTCTGCCGCTCGAGATTTTGGCTCCGGCTCTATTATCCTTATGCTTCTACCTATCTATGAAAGCAGACTCTGAAGTCGACCCATTATCTGCTGGCTTCCGGCCCGTAGCTTGTCTTCAATCTGTCGGCGCGAGTTCGAGCCTCCGCAGGGGAAGGGCGACCCTTGCATTATCCTTAGCCCACGTGCAACCGGTAGTGGTTGTGCGGCAGCGAAGCGTCGGTACTGCGTACCGGTGTACTGCTGATGTCTCTTACAGTTTGCCTGTCGCTTTCGTTTTCACGTCCTTTTTCCCTTTTCACCCCGCGGTTACGTGTTCTTACCTTTCGCTGACGCTATGTTCGCTCACTATTTTCATCTCACAGCTGTTCTCATTTTTCAGGAAAAAATTCAAAACTCGTTCGGGTGACACAGTACGTCTGGTCGATCTTTTGGACGAAGGGCTTGAACGTTCAAAAGCGCGTCTTTTGGAGAAGGGCAGAGATAAGGTAGGTTCCGATCAACCCCCGCCTCCTGTAAACTGCTTTTCTCACATTGTTTCTTTGTTTTGCTGCTGTCATCTTGCGAAGATTCCATTTTTCAAGTAGTGGCACTATTTGATACTCTGTACTCTCATCCAGTGGATGTTTCTCGCTACCACAATGCGAGCCACTTTACCTTCTAATACACGAATTTTGGAGGAGCATCTTGTGGAAACGGGGAGTGGTGTGTTACTTTGTTCTGTGCAGTATTAAACAGAGACGAAGCAAACAAGCTCATGATTCATATATTCTCTTATGGGCAGAACGCTCCGTATTCATTCGTGATGCTTCTCATCCATATTATCCTAACGGTAGCTTTGTTCCTAACTCACTTAATTCTCGCTCATGCAAAGGGTTACTCGCCGCGGATCTCTTCGCTGTGCGCTGGCTGCTGACTCTTTGTTTGTGAGCCTGTGCTCCAATTAGTCATTACCGTTGTGCCAATCGTTGCCCACCGTGACCCGGTAGCCAAAGGGGTAGAGGTTTCGGCTACCATTCCAATGGTCACGGGATCGAGGCCTGTTGTCTCCACCTGATGAGATGAAATTACATCGAAACGCGTCGTGGTTGTGCAGTGTTTTCGGGTGGGCAACACCCAATTTCCATCTGTTTTCGCTATTTCGATCAATCATTAGCCGCTAGGTCTGCCGTCGCAACGAGACTGGACCTTAACGTGGTGCGACGGTTTGCGTACCTCATTGCCCAATTGAGCTATACTGGGTGATGCCTCCGAGCATCTTGAGAGCTACTCCTACCAGCTTGGTCAGTGGTGAGAGGTCAGACAAACTCAGTCTCCTGGTCCTCCAGGTTGGGGGTTTGAAATGGGATGGCGTCCATTTCTGTAAAACTAAATCATTTCCACCTCTTCGCTGCCTTGCAGACAGGCTTTTGAGCCAAAGGCTTTGGATGAGGACCCTAATCGTCCTCCTGTCTAGGTCTGGGCGCACTGGCAGTATCTCAGCCCACATACAACCATGACATTTTCTTCCAACATTAACTTCATCTTGCATCGACCGTCGCGCAGATCATCAAGGGTGGCGTTATCTGCTGCATACAGCAGGGCGGATAAGCGAAAACATGCTACTGCTGGCGCCTCCCTTCTTTCTTTTCCACCTTTTTCTCTTACTCCCATCCCGCCCCCCATTACTAACCTTCCTTCTATAATTCCCAGCTTAATTGACAGCAACCGAAGTGCTACTGGAGTAGAACCATTTGCATCCACCATTCCACCACGCCTGTCGGCAAAAGTCCCTTAGAAGGCCACGCTGTCTCGTTTCCATGGCGACATTCAACGTCCGCACTCTAAGACAAACAAGTCAGCAGGCTGCACTCGCACGCACCTTGGACACACTGGGTATTGATGTGTGTTGTGTCCGAAACTAGGATCAATGACCCTAACGGGTTATTGAATTAACTGCACCCGACTTGTCCTCTCGTTATTGGTTGCACTTATCCGGAGACGCCGATGCGGCACTCACGGGTCAAGCTGGTGTAGATATCATTCTAAGCTCCAAGGCTGAGTCATCGTTGGTTGATTGGATTCCGGTGAACAGCCGTTTATGTGCAGCCCGTTTGACGACATCAGCTAAGGTGAATTCGCGAAGTAAAACAAAACGCTGTTTGTTTGTGATTTCCGTTTATGCTCCCATCGACTGCAGTTCTAATGCAGTCAAGGACACATTCTATCACGAACTGAACTTCCTACTACGCAGTGCTACTAGTTCAGATATTCTAGTACTTGCAGGGGATATGAACGCACAAGTAGGGCGTCTGAGCGCTTTAGAAGCTCAGCTGGGCGGTAATTATGGGCTTAACTCCGAACGGACTGACAACAGTGAGCGTCTGCTGCAACTGTGTGCGGAGCACCAGCTGGCCAGCGATGGACCCAAATTGACCACATATCCATAAGTTACAGGTGGCGTGGTTCCATCCCAGATTGCCGCTCGTACTGGAGTACCTGTGTCGACTCTGATCATGCCTTGGTACGCTGTCGTTTCTCCATGAACTTTACCGGAAGGCGCACAAAACATCCCCTCCGATTAGCAACGGAGAAATTGTTCCAGCCCTCGGTCAGGCAAGCCTTTCATGAAGCACTGCATAGCGAACTCTCGCTGTCTTGTCCTATTGACACTAAACTTCAGTGGAATAGGATCTCGGCCGCCGTGCACGACGCAGGAGCATCTGTTTGTGGCACTATCAGTCGTCACCGCACCAGTCATTGGATATCCGAGAGGTCGGTGAACCTGTTGGAAGCTAGAAGACGCCTCCCGGCTGGTTCTGAACACAATGTGACCAGACGGGCTATTAGGCGTGAACTAAAACAGAGCCTGCGTGCTGACAAGGAAGCCTGGTGGATCAGTCGGGCTCAAGAAATGGAGGAGGCAGGAGCAGTAGGCAATTACCGGAAGCTCCTCCAGCTAATCCGCACCACTGGTCCTAGAAAACCAGGCGTCAGTGAGACAATCAGAGATAGCGCGGGTGCGCTGATACACAATAGGGAGAGCCGTATGGCTCGTTGGGCTGGACTCTTTGAAGATCAGTTCAGCTAGCACCCTGCTCCCGGACCTCTCCCTACTCAGATGATGCAGGACGTGCCATGGACGGTTAGTTTAGAGCCTCCGTCGAAGGCCGAGGTCCGAAACGCGATCACAGCCCTTAATCTTTTTCTTGCCTCAGGCCCGGATTCCCTCTCACCTGCACTATTTAAGGATGGAGGTGAGGTCCTCTGCAGGGCACTGACCTCCCTATTCGAACGTATCTGGAACGAAGAGAGTGTCCGGCTAATTGGAGCGAATCGATTATAGTGGCAATATACAAAAAGGGCAGTCGCACAGACTGTGCGAACCACAAGGGTATTAGCCTAACACCAGTTGTGACAAAATTACTGGCCTCGATTATCGTTCGTCGCCTCACTATGGAACGGGAATCTCGGATTAGGGAAGAGCAGGCCGGTTTACGCCCAGGACGTGGCTGTATAGATCATATATTTACTTTGCGGCAGGTGCTAGAGCAGCGCCACGCATACCGCAGACCGACAATAGCTGTGTTCCTCGATTTCAAGAGTGCGTTCGATTCGGTCGATCAATCGATTCTGTTCGAAATACTTGCGCGGAAATGTGTTCGCACGAAATATGTGAACATCCTTCGTGCTCTATACTCGAGTACTACAGACCGCGTCAGGGTCTAAGGTGTCCTATCGGATAGCTTTTCGACTACAAGTGGCGTTCGTCAGGGTTGTCCGATTTCCCCCTTTTTGTTCAATTTCGTCGTGGATTCTATCATGGAGTGTTCCCTTGCGGAATCCAACGATGTAGGCGTTGAAATGCTGCCTGGTGAAAGGTTAGTTGATGTAGATTATGCGGACGATATCGTCTTGCTTTTCGACGATTTTGTTGCGGCACAATCAACCCTGAATAGCCTGTCCAAAGTGGTGCCATTATTTGGTATGCACTTCGCACCTTCAAAGTGCAGAGTGTTGCTGTAGGGCCACCAGCCACTTGATGATCCCTTGACGCTTGCTAGCGAGGAACTCGAGGTGGTTGGTCATTTCACTTATCTTGGTAGCTGCACCAACAATAATGGGCGCATAGAAACTGACGTCAGCTCACGCATTGCAAAGGCCAGAGCTCCATGCTTGAACCTGCGTCATCTTTGGCGACAGAAGGGAGTTTCCCTGTCTGAGCTGTCGTATATACAAGGCCACAGTGAGGGCCGTTCTGCTCTATGGTAGTGAAACTTGGCCCCTTCGATCTGAAGATCTGAGGCGCCTTCATGTCTTTGATCATCGTTGTTTGCAAAGCATTGCTGGTGTCGGATGGCACCAGCGTATCTCCAATGATGATGTGCGTAGGGGAGTACTAGGTGGTGATAATCATGCTAGCTCCCTAGAACAACAGACAGCACTGAATAAGTTGCGTTGGCTCGGGCACGTGCTACTTATGCCTGGTCACCGCTCATCTAGGAGGGCCTTGTTCAGTCTCCCTGGGGTAGGATGGCGCAAGGCTCGAGGTGGACAGAAGTTGACTTGGCAGCGAGAAATGAAGTCACTGACAACCAAACTGGGTGCCGTTGGTCCGTCTCGCCTTCCAGGTTGGAGTCCACTTGACTTGCCTTGTGCTTGGCTCGAGACTTTGCAGGACATGGCTCGGAACCGACACCAGTGGCGCGTCTGCTGCCGTCTTCTAATCGGATTGCCTGTTTAAAGTATGTTTGGTGCTATCTGCGGGGTAATGTCTGATTATGACGTGTGGCAGTGAAAGCCGCAAGGAATCTGTCTCGCCGATGCCGCCTTATCTTTGCACGATAGCCAGCTGTTTGTGACGGTATGTTGTTAACACAAGGTGTAGTCGCCTTGACCCAGAATGTTTGCTTAGGGCATTGATGTTTTCAGGTAAGTCCCCCTTCTCTCCCTCTTATTCTTTATTTCATAGGTCCTCATGGTTGTATGGCAGCGAAGCATCAGTTCCAATGGCTGATGTATTGCTGTTGATGATGATGAGGTCTGCCGGTGCGCGAGTGATCTGCACGCCTGGCTTGTTGTCATTAGGTCACCGATTCTTATCCGCGTAGGGGCTGCCGTCCTCGCGGTATACCCAGCCCACGCGCGACTGGTGGTGGTCGCGTGGCAGCGAAGCGCCGTTACGGTGTACAGCTGACACATTTTTTATTTTTTATCCGCCGTTAGCTGTCACACTTTCGGCTCCATGAAGGGGAACGAGGGAATGCGCCACGCTGACGGATCTCAATGTGACGGAATGATCATTTGATGATTCCCCGGATTGATGCTTAGATTGTTGCGTTTGCGAGCTGCTGGGACGAACCAGTGAGATATCATTTGTGCTGTTCGCATCTCAATGGGATCAGATATACCGTTCCCAGTGATCATCACTATCATCTTTATACACCTTAGCTGGAAGTGAAAAACAACTCAGCTATTGTGCCACAATACAAAAGAAAAATGACAAGAAAACATGCAACAGAGACACGCCGGATAAGTCACCCGTAACGGATGGACATCGTTCCGGAGAGCCAACGGCCGGCTTTTATGCCACAAAATAGTTACATTATGCCTAATAAATGCGATCGTGGTTGGAGGGGGGGGCTAAGCGGAATGGAGATAGAAAAATTAACACACAACAAACGCCACTGAGCTTGGTTCCTAGCCATGTCATCAAGTATATCCAGTCAAACGTTTTCATCTTGTTTAGACCCCAATCGTAGAGCCGATAGGCTGCAACCGAGGCCAATTTCGAACTAAGGGCCTCCATTGCTCTCGATCATGTCATCGATTGTCCACCCCTCTCCTTCTGTTTACACACGCACAAACAACGCACGTCTCGGGACTCGGTGTGTTGGCATGCGCAACACGTGTCCCAGCCATCGGGACCCTTGTTCGTGAACTAACGGTGCTGAGTGGTTCACTTCTTCCTGTGCGATAAACAGGGCGTCGAACACGCGCATTGTTCACACGGTGTTCCCACCAGACAGACCGTTTCAAGTGCCTCATCGATCTACCGAATCGAAGGCGCTTTTGATGTCGAGGAACACGACGACGATGGACCGCCAGTATAGGTGACGGTGCTCCAACAACCGACGCAAAGTAAAGGTGTAGTCGATGCAGCCCCGATTTCGACTAAATCCGGCTTGGTCCTCACCACTCCGGCCTTACGAGTGTCAGTCCGTTTGTGAAACACGACAGAGACAAACTATTTGCAAGCAATGAGGATCAAACTGATATTTCTATGGTTGCCGCATTTCGTTCGTTAGCCTCCCTTGAAGATCTGGATAATAACGGAGCGGCTACAGTTGGTTGGGATAGTTTCCTGCCCCCACAGTTTCACTAATGCTTCGTATAAACCAGGAACAGGAACATGGTCCCCGAATTTGAAGAGGGTCAGATGAAGATCATCTGGTCCCGCGGCTTTCTTCAACTTCAGCAGTCCGATCTCACTTTCGACGTCTGAACGAGAGGGCGGATCCAAAGTGTCACTTTAGGGAACAGGGTTATCACTAGACGGTGTGGAGTTTAGCAGGCTGATTAAATTATCTTTCCAAGTACTCAGTCCAACGCTCCAAGCGTTTTGCTAAGTTGTGGATAGGTTGTCCACTTTCGTCCTAAATAGTTCCACTAACACTGGGTCTCCTGCTATCCATTTTCCCTATCAGACGGAATAACTTCCGGTCGTTACCATGGCAGCGATGACTTCCATCTCGGACGTACGAAGAGGCAACCAGGATTCGCGATCTCTCTTCAGGCTAGCACGGATTTTCGCCCGGAGATTTTCGCGAGTCTCATTGTGTTCGTTTCCTGTCGGAATGTGCCGGCGAACATCGATAAGTTCCAGAGACTGCGTAGAGACCGAATGTCCATGTTAGTTATTGGATTTACCACATGATGATTTGGCTGCTGCTAGTAAGGTCTGGTGAGCATGAGACCAGTGAGCATCAATTGCATCCAGTGAGCGCTTACTCAACTCGCATCTCAGCGTACTTTGATAGGCATTCAGAACAGCTGGCTTCGCCAGTTGTCTAGTATCAATGCGCCCACAGGGTCGTCGTGGGCGTCCGCCGAAACGCACCTGCAGATCAGCACATACAAGTACGTAGTCAGTCTCTACACATGTGCTCCACATCAAGCGACAGTTTTGGACGCAGCCTCTCCAGCAGTAACTGATCGCGATGTGGTCGCTTTGCTTCCAAGACTGGTTCGAGGCCGGTGGGTGCCATGTAACCCTCCGACGGGTACTGTGTTAGTAGCTAGTGCTCGCAAGAATTAATTGCTCACCATTATCATTACGGGAGCCTGCACCGTGTTGGTCAGTGGTGTGCCTCGTGTAAAATCAAGAATATACCTTCGCTTATCTTATCATAGGCTTTGGGGCTGGAAACTAGTTCTTGAACAAGTATCTGCTTCCACCCCCTTATTGTCCAATGCTGGTGCGCAACTAGCCGAGCTGATGGCTGACGTCCGTTTAGCAAGACATCAACCACCGATGATTTCAGCTTGACCACATGTGTGCCTACTCCGTTGCGTGGGTCCAACTTAAGTGTTGCCAGTTCTTGCTACCTCCGCTTCCTGCCTCCAAAGCGCGATGGCTATATGCTCAAGCTGCGTCTGTGTTAAACAGCCGTGCCGGCATATCGTCCGAATGCTATTGTCTGATAGCGGTTGACCACTCAGTGCGTCCTGGATGCAAATTTCGTGACTAACGGATTATAGTTACTGCACTAAGTATGCAAGTTAATGCGTCAGGGATGCAATCGATTGAAGATCGATATAGATGCTAAACGCTTATCAAAGCATGATGGGGGAGGGCCAAGTACTTTGGGGTTGAAAGCGGGGGGGAATGAAGTTGGAACGGTACGACTAAAGTTAGGAAGCGTAAGAAGGGAATAAGAAGACGGAAAGGCTTGAGCAGTAGAATCCAAACTCCTATCCACCCTGCTCGATACAGCAGATGGGGTTCCGGTTATTATCCTCTACGGTGGCCAGAACATCAAGAAATTGTTCAAGGAAAGGTTCATAGTATTGCGTAGGCAGGATACTGTCAGGTTGCCCAAAGCTAGACAGGAGAACGATTAGGGTTCTCAACCAAATCCTTTGGTTCAGAAACCTGACCGCAAGGCAGCGGGTTTTGCGGTGGGCTACAAGAAGTCCGTTTTAAGGAATAAGGACCCACCCTCACTCCAACTCTTAACCTGGAGGACCAGGAGGCTGATTTTGTCTGACCTCCAACCATTGACCAATCTGGTATGAGTGGTTCTGAAGATGCAAAAAGCACCACCCAGCACGCCTCAGTGAACGCCTGAGGCAAGCGAACCATCGCATCACGGTAAGGTCCAGCCTCATTGCGATTGGGATCAAATATTTTTGTTGAGTGACACCGTATCTTCAACATCGGACTAATACGCAACCTCTGATAGATGCGATGGCAGCGTAGCTACTCACTTCTCTAGCTTTGATCTCGCATTGATCACTAGAACTGATGAACCTAGCGGGTGTTCCGCTGCGGTGCGACCAATGTATAGGGGATCGGAATGTCACGAATGGGGCATACGTTTGTCTTTCCTGTTTGCTTATACTGTTCGGTTGGTTTCAAGTCTAACATTCGTTTTATTAGTCGCCACTTGTACGGTTCCTGAGGTTTATTTATCCAAGCTGATGCAACAGTTATGGAAGTGAAAACTAGTTCTCAGGCGGCGCACGTTTCGCTAGTTTTTGCAGGGCCTGTCGGAGCTTTTATGTGACCGAGTTAACGGGAGATCACAAGCTATATTATTGTCGAGAGCTTCACATTTCCTTGTGCACTATTGGTTCCAGTAGAAGTGAACTTGCCGTTACACTTCCCTTGTTGATCTACTCCTCCCTGCTTTTTCCCTATTGATCAAGTATTCCCCTTTTTGGACCGACCCACCACGGCTTCACAGATTAATTCAAATGTGAAATTCCTATAACTTGTCTGAATTAAGACTTTTTCTTCACAGTAGCTTCACAGTGAGCTCATGCATTCTACACCACTGGCATGTTGCACCCACACATTTCACTTTCCTTAAAGCGGCCCACACTTTCTTTTGGATTATGCTACCTATAAAAAGTAAGAGTTTCGCCAGACATTGCACATGCTTTAAATATATATTATCATGTAATTAACAATGTGAGATTCCATGCGTTGTGTCACTGAAATCTTTCCAGCGAAACTTCAAGGATTTCCTTCCTTTTGGAATCGACGCATTTCGATGGGCACCGGGTATATCCAATTTCGTGCATGACCAGTATTATGATCTTTGCTCCAACTTGATGGTCATTATGTCATGATTGATCAAACAAAGCCAATGTCGGCCCGTCGCCGAAAAGCTTGTATTGTAATCCGGAGGTCACGGATTCGAGTTTGCTTAGGGAAACAGGCGATCCTCGCAGTTTCCTTAGCCCACGCGCTGCTGGTAGTGGTCGGGCGGCAGCAAATCGTCGGCACTGCGCGTATCGGCATACTTCTGACGTCTATACACAGTGCCATGAACGACCGCATAGGATGAGGAAAGCGCCATGCACATCGTTTTTATGAACCCGGGGTTCGTGAAGCATGTTCCGTTCCTGTCATTAGGTCATTGCTACCGCGTAGCTTATTGACACTCTTATTCTTGTTACCGCTCGACCGATCTGCCCTTTTCGTCTTGTACTTGGGCGCATGGTTGGTGAGTGTGATGTTGGTCATCGAAGCCAAATGGCGAAACCGCGCACGATGTAAGCTACTTCGCTTTTTTGTGTACTCTTTTCCGTCTATTGTTGATTCCATTCCTTCTGGTTAGTTTCTACAACTGATCTAATCACATTCTACACCCTTAAGCAACCACCAACCTCCCCATATTTTCAATGGGTCTTTCAGTGTGATAAGTGTTCAGTTTACCAATATTCACTCTTTAGCTATCTTGCTAGTATCATATTGTTGCTCAATTTGACTATTTCCTCAGCATTCTTTTCCGTGATAACAACCTCTTTGTCCTTGCGAACAATGTTAACGATGCTATCTAACGATCTCCTTTTCCATCATTCTCCCTTTTTAAATCGCTCTGCTGTTGTTTGAATCTCTGCAGGAACTCACAGAGGAGGAATTCAAAGCTGCCCAAGAAGCCGTGGCCTATGGTTGTATCAAATATGCTGATCTGTCGCACACAAGAACCAATGACTATATATTCTCCTTTGATAAGGTGGGCCTTTGATCTTATAATCTTATCACGGCTCATTTGGAACATTACATGGGGATCTCATACCTGAAATTCATACCAGTGCTTCCGTCATGTAGGTAATAGATCTGTTTGTTGAGATTCATCTTCATAGCCTTTGGCGACTCACCGGCGCGTGCTAATGGGCCTTCTACCTTCACATGGCGGAATTGAGCACACCAGCGAGGATGCTAACCGTATATCAGATAATCTGTCACAGACTTTGCTCCGATTTCCTTTCTTAATAACGACGATTTACTCATTTTTGTGCCGAGGGGTGTTGCTGCACCATGAGTAGGCTTCATAGCACTTGTCGCTCCACTACATGTGTCCGGCCGACTCACTCACTTGAGTTGCATTAATTACAGAGTGCGTGAGTTATACTACAAATGGGACAACCAGGGTTTTGTCCTTCGTCGCTCTTCGGTACATCACAACGGCACTATTTTGCTTCATTCACATATCGCGGTGAGTGGGTATGGGATTTTTGGTGCACTCAATAATTTGCCCCTCGTCGTCATCATCACACGTCAGATAAATGTGAGAAACACCTCAGCTAATTGTGCCGTCATCATCATCATTATACACGTAAGCTACAGGTGTAAAACTCCTCAGCTACTATGCTGCAATACATAAAAAAGAAAGTAAATACAACAGTTGGCATGCCAGCTGAGCTATCAGCAACGGATGGGCATCGTTCCGGGAACCTACCAGCCGGCTACTAGGCAACAAGAAAAATTATGATGTAAAGTTATATTATGCTGCGAAATGAGATGGTAGTTGGAGGGGGATAATAAAAGGGATGGGGAAGGCAGTAACGGCAATGAGGTCGGATCCTAGCCATGTCAGCAAGTGTATCTAGCCAAACGTGTTCATCGTCTTTTGGTCTCCAACCACGGAACCGTGAAGCTCCAGTCGAGGCCAGCTCCCAACTGAGGGTCTTCATTCTCTTGGCCACTTCTCTTCTTCCATCCACACCCCCGGCACGCAAGCAACACATTTCGCTGGAGTCGGTGGACTGGCATGCGCCACACGGAGCCTGGTGCGTGAATTGACGATGTTGAGCGGTTCAGTTTCTTTTCCTATGCCATAAACAGGGCGGCGAACACGCTCGTTGCTCATGTCGTGTTCCAACCAGATGTGAGCGAAACTGCGAAGGCACCGGTGGTCGAATGTAACTAGCCTCTTTATGTCAGTTGATCTAAGGGGCCAGGTTTCGCGATCGTACAGTAAGGTCGAACGTAACGCTGCATTGTTCACTCTACCATTCAGGGCGAGAGTGATGTCGCGCCGCCGCCATAGGTGGCGAAGACTAGCTCAAAAGCACTTGGAGCTTTTGCTATACGGTTCGTGATCTCATCTTTCATCCCAACGGCGCTGATACAACTTCCCTGGTAGTTGAATTTTTGAACGACTTCTATTTAATGTCCACCAAGAGTCAGCGTAAGAGGCGATCCCTGGCAATTTTGGAGGAACGCTTTGAACTTCGAGGGTGCAAAGCAAAGCCCGAAGCGGCTGACAGCCAGTGCTAATCTGTCCACTGCAGCTTAGCACGTCTGGGAGCGGCTACAGATGAGAGAAATGTCGTCTGCATACTTCTAGTCAAGAAGTCGTTCTACTGTGAGTAGCTCCACACCTAAGTCGTGTCCTGTAAATGCAGTCTTCATGACTTCCTCAATAGCGAACTTGAAGAGGAAGGGCGACAACGGGCATCCTTGTCCCACTCCGCTGGGTATATTAAAGGGCGGCGACAGCTTGCTGTAAGCCCTGCCCATGCTACGCGTGTATAATGCTCGGATAATATTTGCGTATTTCTCGGGTACGCCTTTCTTGTATAGACAGTCGCAAAGGGCACTTCGATCAACCGAATCGAAGGCACTTTTGATGTCAAGGAATACGACTACGGTGGGCCGCCAATATGTATGACTGTGCTCCAATAATTGACGCAAAGTAAAGATGTCGATGCAGCCACGACCCCGACGAAATCCGGCTTGCTCCTCACGAATGTGGCTCTCACGAGCGGTAGTCAGTCTGTGGAAGATTACAGAGACAAGTAATTTGGAGGCGATGGGGATCAGACTGATTCCTCTATGGTTGCCGCATTCCGAGCGCGACCCTCCTTTGAATATGGGAACAATGACGCAGCAGCTCCAGTCGGTAGGGACATTTTCCTGCTCCCACAGTTTTACTAGTATTTTGTGGAAATCAACAAGAGCAGGGCCCCACGAATTTTAACAGGGCTGGAGGAAGATCATCTGGTTCGCGGCTTTGTTTCACTTCAACAGTTCGATCTCACGTTTGATTTCTAAGCGAGAGGGCAGATCGAAATGGGCAGCCCAAGGAGCAGAGCGATCACTGGCCGGTGAGGAATTTGACAGTTCCGTCCGATTAAATTACTTTTCCAAATGCTCAGCTCAACGCTTTAAACCTTTTAGTAAATTGTGCATAGGCTGTCCACTCTCGTTACAAATTGTTTCATTAATATCAGGTCTCCTGCTTCCCGTTTCACGTATCAAACGAAATAACTTTCAATGGTTATCAAGGGTAGCGGCTACTTCCAACTCTGATGCACGAAGACACCACCATGATTCGCGGTCTTTTTTCAGGCTAGCACGGAATTTTGCCCGGAGCTCTTTGCGAGTTTCATTGTGTTCGCTTCCAGCCAGAATATACCGGCGAGCATCGATATGTTCCAGAGACCGCGAAGCGACGCAATGTCCATGTTGGCTATTAGACTTACCGCATAATGATTTGGCTGTCACTAATGTGGTCTGGTGAACATGCGACCAGTGACCTTCAATTGTCTCCAGTGAGCGCTTACTCAACTCGCCTGTCAGCGGATTGTGTCGCAATACTGAAAATAAGATACATAAAAAATCGAGATACAAATCGCTGCCTAACATGAAACGAAATGCAACCAAAACATACCATATAATTTGCAGCGAGAATGAGATTGTCGTCGGAGACAATAGCTTAGTAGGAGAGGGTGGGACCAACAAACTCGCAACACGAACACCATTGTAGTCGGCCCTTTACCATGTCCGCAGTTACATCTAACCTAACGTGTTCACGGCCTTGGGACCCTAGCCACGTAGTCAGGAGTAACCAATCGACGGCAACTTAGAAGCGAGGGTCTTCGTTCCTCTTAATCAAGTCATCGGTTAGCCTCCCCTCCTCTTCTCCCATCTACATCCCGCTCTCGCAAACAATATCCTTCGCATGAGTCGGTGTTTTGGCGTGCGAAACGCATGCCCAGCCATTGGAGCCTGGTGTATGACGTATTGGTACTGAGCGGTTCACTCGCTCTTGCTGCACCGAAAACACTCATTGCTCACGCGGTGTTTCCACCAGACATGAGCTATACTACGAAGGACTAATTTGCTCACGTGTCTTCTCTTTCAGATGCTTGATGATAAAGGCAACACCGCCGTCTATCTTCTGTACGCGTACACCCGAATAAGGTAACTCTTGGCTTTCATTAACCTTTCATTCTTCCATGCGAACGCGTTAAAAGTTCATTTTTTCCCAGTTCCCTACAATTTCACAGAAGGGATTTTTATTCTACCCCTGGTATTTTTCATTTTCGATGGTACCGCAACTCAATTTGTGATTTGCGCACAATTTATCTACGGTTTATCGCAGTTGGACTCGGTCAGCTAGCCGAAAAGCTTCCGAAAACCTTGCTCTTTTTTCGCCCCTGTAGCAGTACCCACAACCTCTGTAGGATACTGATACTGATTAAAAGCAGCGAGTAGAGCATACTCTGTGTAGCTGTATCAGTTGTCGATCTTGGGCATTAACGCATTACTTATCGTTCCGCTCTTTATATTTTGCCTCTGCAAAGTGTTTGTCTAGAAGCTTCTTAAAATCGGCCACTGAGTTCGCCTCTGTTACCGGCTGCGGCAGGTTGTTCCAGGTATTCACCACTCTACGTTCGAAACAAAGTTGGTGAGCTACCCGCTTCAACTGCGGTACGATAAGTTTGTACCGGTGTCCTCGCGTACTGCTTGGTGTGCGCAGATGAAGCAGTTGTCTCGACATGGGGTAATCACTCAGATGTAATATCCGGTGCGTCATGCTTAGGTCAACCCTCAGCCGACGATATGCTAGGGTGTACAGCCATAGTTTCTTACATCGGTCTTCATATGGCATACCTCGTAAGTTGGGAATCAGCCTAGTGGATACAGGCTGCACCCGCTCAAGCTTTTCTAACTCGCCCCGGGTGATGGGACACTATGCGGGAGAGCCGTACTCTATCATTGGTCGTATTATCGAGACGAAGAGGCGAGTGGCAATCTCTTCGGACCAAGTGCTGCAGCTGCGCCTGAGCGCCCAAAGCATCCGAAGGCTGTTTTGATACAGCCTATTCGTGTTGTCAATGGACTTTAGGTCGCAGCGTGAGGGCACACCGAGGTCGCGCACGAAAGACGCGGGATGCAGCGGTTGATCAGCCACTGTGTACGTTCGGCTGTGCTCGCATTTACCCAACCTCATGAATTGCGACTTAGCAGGGTTGATTGGAAGGTTAACATCTGCAGACCATTTTGAGAGGCTGTCGAGGTCCTGCTGAAGTAACTCACAATCATTGAGTGTGCGGATTACTCTCCACACCTTCAAGTCATCTGCGAACAACACACATGGTGATTGGAGTAGCTTAGGCACATCGTTTACATGGATAAGAAACAATATCGGTCCCAGTACAGTGCCTTGGGGCACGCCGCTGCTCGATGAATACCAGTCCGTTGGATGGTTGTCCACCTGGAATCTCCACTTCCGATCCACAAGGAAATTTCTGATCCATTTGTGTAGCGAACCACCAACACCGTACATCCTCAGCCTGTCAAGGAGCACTGCATGGTTGACCTTGTCAAAAGCCTTACTGAAGTCAATGTAAATGACATCGACTGAATGGCCTTGGTTCATCGCTTGTAACCACTCGTGCCTTGTCAACAGTAGGTTGGTGATTCACGAGCGACCTTTCATGAAACCATGCTGTGCGGAGGTCAACAGGTTTTTCGACTGGAGAAGCTGCAGAAGGCTCTTCTTCACGATCTTCTCGAGCGTCTTTGCCAACATTTTCCATTGGGTTACCACCTTTCGGTATAGGCTTTACGACTGAGCATTTCCAGTCGTCTGGTAACAGTCCATTAGATAGTGACCTGTTAAACAGTTCAGTTACAGAAGGCGCGATGATGGCTATTATCGAGACTTACGACTCTAGACAGATTTAATATTGCAGTTATGACGGCCTATCCATTTACGGCTTTATATTTCGTAATACACGATATATCATTGAAATTCATTCACAGCTAAGCGTATCCCGATAGGTAAGGCCTTTCCAGATATTCAGTTCAGTTCACTTCCCTGCACCTTGCATTGTGTTTGGGTACGATGGATTCTATTTAGACCATCAAACTTCCCCTAGTGATCCTTTTTGACACATGTTTACTCTCTTGACTAATCGTGTTAGATGACCGACCACTCCCCGATCTGCTGAAGGAGTACATCTTTCATTTACTTGAATTCACCCAGATGTTGATTTCCCACCCGCCCGTCCGCTCACTCCGCTTTGCTCATTTAATCTGACGTGTTTGTCGGGCGAATGGTACTTCGGCCAAGCGGAAATTCCAAAGCGGATCGTTCCACCGCGTCGTCGTGCCAGGCACTTCATACGGTTATCCTCTCATCCGGTTGACTCATGTCCAGTTGAACCCTCCTGTCTACATGGTCGTGTGTCTTAGCCTTCAAAAGCTGTCGGTGGACCGACAGAGCACTTCTCACTTTCCTCATGGTTTCCACAAAGTGGGTTAGGTATTTAGGAGAGTTGAGAGCACGTTCTTAATGTGGTTTATGCAGTTATCACAGCCTTTTCATCACCACAAAACGCTATGTGAAGTATGGCGTAATACATTAATCTATGGCATAACGTATAGTTTCGGAAACTGGTACTTTTATATTAAGGTATTGGTTACATTTTACTTTTCTGGTTGAATCGCTACATCTTACTCATGCCACCCTCTAAACTCACAATTAACGTAGGGTTACAATCAACTCCAGAAGCATATGCCGTTGAATTGAAGTCTCTGCGACTTGTCACTGATTTTTTCCTAACCTGTTGGCGCGATTTGTCGTTTTACTATTGGGACCAGGATGATCTTCCTCTATACAGCCCCGATCTTAATCGCTCACTCTGTGGCAATGCAACTCATTCGATTATAAGCAACATTTTTCTCGCATCGACTGATTGGTTTTCCTATGTGTTATCTTTGCCTTCGACTATTCTTTGTTCGATCATTTAGCCCTCTCACTTCCACCGCAAGTGTTTCTGCCTTACCAACTACTGATCCGTCACTGTTATGCTGCTTATTTATTGTTCAGCTGCTAATACTCTAACCGTGCTCTACGAAAAGCAATGTAAATCCTTCTGTTCAGTTTAGTTCCTATTCCTCTCTGTCTCCGATCGAAAACGGGTTAGCTCGTTAGAGAGGTCCACCTACCTCCCAGACTGATACTGTTCGCTACCATGCGTGTTGGCACACATCTTTTGTTACCGAACACCTACGACGTAATTCGGCGATTGTTTGCGAAACACCCGATACATTCGTCAGCGTTTTCTAAAGACTAAAGAGTTGCAAGTCTTTACCTTGTTTAGATCTCTTCTCTTCGTTTCCCAAGTTACGAGTGTTTAAGATACGAATTCCATCAAAGGACATTTCTGCAGGGCTACTACGGCACTGTTGTTTGCTGAATCATCTGAGCTGACATGGGAAATTGATATCGCGCTTCCCACTTTGAAAGGGATTCGACGGGAGCGCACCGTATTGAAGCGAAAGAAGGCTTCTGGACCCGACAACTTCCATTTTTGCTGAAAGATGGAGATGACTCTTTATTGACTGGATTTACTGCTCTGTTCCACATTATTTGGGACACTGAGGAGGTGTTCTTAGACCGTCAACTGCCGTCTTCAAATCCCAAAACGGTCATTTCACTTTGTGCAAAAATAATCTAGGCTTTTCCATTGTTTTCAAACTTCTCACGGGTATCATTCTTCGACAACTCTTGAGAGCCGAGTAATTCAAAGCAAAGTAGGCTTTAGATCTTGGATACACAGATGATCGACTATACTGTTATTCTTTGAACTGAGAGCCACCTTCGGCTCTGTTGATTGAGCCAACCTGCAGCATTGTCTATCCGTGAAGGGCGTGCCAGCTTAACTCCTTTCCATTTTTAAGTCTCTAGCTGACTTCCAAAACGAGGTAACGGTCTATGTGAGGCTGTCTCCTGAGTTCCCCATGTATTATTATTGATTTTATTATTATGATTATTCAAAACTTGGCTAATATACAGTTAGCAATGCCATAACATATAGTGAACAACAACAAGAAGGGAAAACCAGGTAGTCAATGGAATGCTTAGTAAGCTTTAGAAGGTCCATGCATGTGTGAACAAAGGTCTTCCCGGTTGCTCAGGCCGAGGAATAGAATTGACTTAAGGGACGCCACCCCGAATCTCTGGCCGTAAAGACCTGACCCGCAACACAGCGGGGCGATTATCGAAGACCGTTGACAGACGAGTAGCTCATACGCCTTCTTTGTGTCCAGTAGCGGTCCACAGAGAAGCGGTGGCCAACAAGATTGTTCTTCCGCCCTCCGTTAGGTACCCACCTCTGGTTAAGGAAGTGAGTGGTCTGTAACTCTATAGCCGGTCACATTGGCTTTAACACAGCGTCGTACGAGCTCTTGTGGTGCTTAATGGAGAATCAGGTGACCAGCCCAGAACTTCCCACGCTCCGAGACGGTGCCGCTGATTGTCGGCGACTGCTTATTCATCTCGCCTGCAAGACAAACGAGACTTATTCGTATTTGCCTCCACAGGGAAGGCATTCCCTAATCCGCAACCTTGGGGCGCGCCCGATAGTGTACTGCTCTACTCCGGGGAGATGAAGTATCGCGTAATGCACCCGGGTTTGACTTTCATTAATTTGTGGCATAACGTATAGTTGCGGAAACTGATACTTTTATGTTAAGGTATTGGTTACATTTTACTTTTCTGGTTGAGTCGCTACATCTTACTCATGCCGCCCTCTAAACTCACAATTAACGTAGGGTTACAATCAACTCCAGAAGCATATGCCGTTGAATTGAAGTCTCTGCGTCTTGTCACTGATTTTTTCCCAACTTGTTAGCGCAATTTGTCGTTTTACTATTGGGACCAGGGTGATCTTCCTCTATACTGTCCTGATCTTACTCGCTCTTTCTCGCTCTGTATCAATACAACCGAGTTCCCATGACAAGTGGACTTCACTGGGGGTTTTCCATTCAATTCCGTGAACAAATGGATAATGAATTATTCCGTCCTTTCAGACTGCTCTATTGAATGTTCTGCCAAGTGACTGACTGACAAATTTCGAGTATGCGGAAAACATAGCTCTAATCGAGTCTGCCGCAGTGGCTATGCAAGCGCTACTGAACAGACTGATATAGAGCGCTGGACTCTTCAGCAAGTACTTCGCAACTTCAAATGTAAGGTACTGTTGCAGTGACGGACCAGTACATCACCGACTGTAGTTATCGCTGAACAGCCACAATAACCAGTGGATCGGTTCGCTACTTACCCTGGTACCTTTGTCACCTCTGGTGGTCTCATGACTGAGGAATTTACTTCACGTGGCTTTCCATTGGCTCGTCAAGCTGGGAGAACGACGTGATATCAACCTGTTAGTGAAATGTTGGGTGTATAACGCTGCGGTTTCGGCAAAATGGCTGAGGTGTCCATACCTCTAGCTAACGTGTGTAATGATGATGATGGTGTTTTTATTGTACAGATCAGGAACTTGGTCAATTCGCAGTGAAGACATTAAATGATTGTTCTTGTTTAGTCACCGATGCTCGCGGAATATTGCTCAAATCTGGTGGGTACACCGCCACCTGCTTTTTTTGGCAAGAAGCCTTCTGGAGCATCATGTGTGTTTACTATAGTTTAGCTGCTTACATTGGCTAGATCGTATCCTCCGTATGTCCATTGACCGCCTTCGTCGGCGTGCGTTATGCGCCGTTGTTGCACCAAGTTGGCCGAAGCTGCGAGGTGGCGGGTCGATGACGTCGCATAAAAACGTGATGGAACTGATCGAAAGGTGGTGCGCATCCGTTGTGCAATCAGTGGTGCTTCCATATTCAGTTTCTTGCGTCTAGATATTTATTTTCACTCTACCCCAAGTGGTCTAACACACTTCCTTCCTGTGTTCTTTTTCTTTGTATTCTCTTTGCATTTAACCGCATTTTCCCACTGTTGTGTCTTTTTTGTTATTCTAGCCACGCGAGTTGTGGCAACTAGGTCCACCGCCTTTCGTTGTCCGGATCAAAGTTGTTTATCTGAACGGAACTGACTACAGTCCGTCAACAATAGCGCTATTATCTCCCTGGTCTATTTTATCTTGGTACCCTCCCATCAATCAGCGCTTCATTTTTGTGTTACACACACTGTTTTCTCGATCTTCTACATCCGTTCTTACAACGTTTTCCTGCTTCCTTTCTTTGTATATCATAGTAGACTTATTTTCCGTTCGCAATCATCATTCTCTTTACCGTTCCACTCTACATACCAGGTCAATCGCGAGGAACGCTGGATACTCAAGTGATCAGTTGGCGGAACTTATGAAAACTGAACCCCTCAACTTGGATCATCCTAGCGAATGGAACTTGGCCCGGGCACTTTGTCGACTTCCAGACATTTTACTCCGCATTCAAAACGACTTTCTTTTGCACAACTTGTGCGATTATCTTTATGAGTTGAGCTGTTTATTCACCAGCTTCTACGACGCATGCTACTGTATCGAACGTGATCGAAAAACTGGTAAGTTTCAGGAGGAAATCATAGTTATCTTTTTATCAATGTTTCAGTCGAGATATGGAAGATACGCGCCTCCGCTCGCATCACCTCTGTACGCCTATTAACCGAACAGCTTATATTGGCCCGATGAAAGTTGACAAGCAATGTCAGGCTCACACACTTTTGTTCATTATGCTTTTATTGTTGACACTATCTCGTTTTCGCTTTTTGTTCAACCCTGTTGGCTGTAAAGTATCACCTAGTCCCTTTCTACTTCCTAGTCGTTCATAATTCAGCTGCACATCACGCACTAGTTTCGTGGCTTCTCATATGGCACATTTCTATTCTTAGGATAGACTATGTGCTTGCATCCCTCTTCAGAACCACTTGCTCCATTGCACTGCATCTCGTGTTTGTTGTCTGACTGGTCCTGTGCAAGATCACCGATGGACTTGCGTCACGATTCATTCATTGATTGATGCCGCTTGTTTTGAAGTGCTTTACGCCGATTCAACTTAATGGAACCTCATTACGTGCATACAGCCAACGCGATGTGCCACCAGTGCCATCGTTTTGAAGGATTTATGTGTATAAGGTAGCGAATGGTCACACCTCATTTTTGAGTTGAGAACACTCGCTGTCCAGTCCAACCGCACCACACGCACTATTTTGGCATAGCGTACCGAAGATACGCTTGTTGCTACCGATGGAACGATATCAACTTTCGATAGTTTAATGAAAACGTTATTGGTTACGCGCCATGATGAAATCAAAGAGTTGCGACAGATGTTACCGAAACGGTTGTACAGATTGTCAACTCAGTTTTGTTGTTTAGGACTGGGCTCATTGACTACGTTGCTGGATTGACATATCGTCCGAAAACCCGTCGTACTCGTTCAAGACATAATAACGCTTCAGTTCGTCCAGTTGCCATCTCACCATCTCATCTACGCTTCTAGCCGGTGATCCATGTCTATGTAAAGTGACGTGTGGCTACCAATGCTGACGAACGTCCTCTGGTATGAGGATTCATCCCAGGAAGCTCTACGGATTTGCGGTACATATCAATCTTAACTTTGGTGATTTTGCTGCACAAGTAAGCTTTTTATAGACACACGAAACCGTTTCATACCACAAAATCATCGGCTCGCAAAGTCACACTGTTTGTGTCGCCTACACACTGAATCCACCGTAGTAGTCAGCCCTATATTTTTCCCCCGGTGCAAGTAATGCTACTCCATTGATGAACCTCTTTGCAGCTAAGCTGTTAGACGATGATGGTTCCCAACAGGAACTGGCTTTTCGTGAATGACTTTCTGGAGCGTTGCATATTCGTCACTTGGATTCGTGGCTTTTTATGCGGTTTACCGATGTCCGTCCATTAACAGTGTGCCGCGTAACTAAGCCGGGACTTTCTATCTTTTTGCAGGTGCTCTCATCCGCATTCACCCGAGCCGCCTCATGCTTTGCGAGACAACCGCCAAAGTGATGAAATGTGGTTTCGATATTCTGGGTTTAAATACCGTCGATCGCATGTGACACTTTGTATTTTCTACTCTGTTTGTATTATACATATCACTCGTACTGAGTTCTGTTTGTCCAGTGAACTCCTTCGGATTGGTAAACTGCGGTCGTGTACATATTCACTGTTACTTTTTCCTTTAAAAGTAGTACGGTTTAGGTTAGAATTGTGAGTCAGCGCTCTTCACGTTTTCAATTGGCATACATGTAGTGGATCTATGTCGGATCCATTCCTTGTGTCTTGCTGCAGTTTCACCGATGACAGCAAAGGTTTATTGAAACTGGTATTTTCAGGTACTTGACTTGTACACTGTGTTTACAGTTTGTCCGCAGCGCTTTTATATATCATCCGGTGCGCTATATTGGTCTCTTTTGTCACTATGACGCATACACACCTCAGCATGATTCATGAATAAGTGCTGAATTAGTACACTCACCTCAACGTATCACGAGCTGCAGTTGTCTTCCGATCGCTAAATCTTCGATCAGTTTTCTTTTTGTAGCAGCTTCGTATACTGTTCCCTTCAGTTCAGCTGGACAACTATTATCTGGGAATCGAAGGGTGGTGCATCCAGTTGCCATGACCAGGGTAAAAAACGACACAATGGAAATGAGCTTGAATGCAAATGTAACGAAAATGGAATTCAGGAGGATGGAACGGTACTTAACAACTAAATGCGAGTAACCGAATACGGGAACCCCGCTGACTGCGCGACTATGCCATTTGTGGTAGGGTTTCCAACCATTGGTTTGGACCATCCCGGAGCCTCCACCCATGCAGGCAGAATGCATCAGCCTCGATCGGTTTCTTCATGTCTTTATGCGACGGCATCGACTGACCACCTCGCCGTTTCGCTTACAATGGTGTAGACATGGCTTATAATGCACGCTGAGGAAGCCGGTTGATGGGCACACAAAGGATGTGACATATGCAGCGTAAGGGGGTTAGGCTTTAAAAATCACTCGAATGAAACACGAGAAGGCTTTTTGCCAAAAATCAACTGGGGGACTTTAGCATTGCTCACCCGGTGTTTCCATCAGACGTAAGCATTACTTTACAATCATCGGTGGTCGAACATAGCCGATCGTTTGACTTCTTCACTGTGAATTGGCGAGGTATCTGATCCATACAATATTGACGGCCTTATCGCTTCCGGCAGTCCCTTATCTGGTCTCGAGATTCACAGTACAGGTTAAAAATGCAAAGGAGTTAAGCTGACACACCCTTCATTGATAGATTGTCTCATAAGCTGTCATGGTCAACATGTTCGAAGGCAGCTTTCTAGTCACTGAAATCCACTATAGTCGGTGATCAATAAATGTGTCTCTGTTCTAACACTTGGTGAAGTGTAACTAAGTGGCCGACGCAACCACGACCAGGGCGGAAACCAGCCTGGCTTTCATTACTTTGGTTCTCACGAGAATGAGTGAATGTTCGAAGAGAAGTTTGGATCTAATTAAAAAAGGCTAATGCTTCGATGACCCTTTTTAAAGATGAACACGACAGTGGACAGTTACCTGCCTGAAGCCACCACTTCAGTGTCCGGAATGCTTTATTTAAGAAGCAGGTTCAGTTACTGAAGGGCTACCTTCTTCCAGCAAATATAGGGGAAGGTCGTCGGTTACGGTAGCCTTGTTTCGTTTCAACATGTCGCGCCTATGTCGAATCTCTTCCAAAATGAGTAGTGTGATATCAACTTCTTAGGAAGGCTGGTGATTCGGCAGGTTGCAGTGTCGCAGCACGGTCGTTGAACTGCTTTTCAAATTATTCCGCGCAACGGGGTATTCAACGTGGCTGGGGATGCATCGACTGTCCATCTTTCTCGGCCGTTGTCTCACTAATTGAGGGCTTTGTCGGACCCGTATTCCGGATGAGCTGGAGTAGCACTCGGTTATTACTAATTGCAGTGGCTTTCTTCATCTCATAGAATCTTGACATCCACCAAATTCCCCATCGATTCGTAGAATGCTTGTCAGACGTCGTTTCATGGAGTTACGGATACGCTGAAACTCAGTACCCATCGGAATCTGTTTCCGTGCTTCGATCAAGCTGATCGATGCCTCAGTGATGCATTCACTGTTATGACATCTCAAGTTAGCTTCATAGCAGGTGTCAAAGGCATTCTTCATGGCACGTTTGAGACGATCAGTCAACGTTCGGCTCACTAACCTCATTCAGCACCGATATTTTATGGGCCAGTTCGTCATGATATTGTTGAACTACAGATTACTAGTTTAAGTTACCAGTGAGAAGCTTGAAATTTATACGGGCGAGCATTAGACGTGTGCGCATTATTGCATGGTCGGAATCCAGGCACGTGCTCCAAATTGACCGACAGTCCCGGGCTGATGTGCGCCATATGTAGCCGATGGCAATGTGGTCGATTTGAGTCCAGGTCATATAGGGATTCGGTAGGTGCTGGGTTATCTGGTGTGAACGTTTGTGTTGGAAAACAGTGCTACTACTATAAATATTGTGGTGGGCGTGCAGTGGTAGGAATCGATCACGTTTGTCTTTTCGGCATTCATTGATCCCGAAGGGGCCTCCCAGGTGTTGTCCATTGCTTGAACGTCCACCCAGTTGGGCGTTCAAGCCATCAGCAGCGTACGAAGGAAAGATGAAAAATGGTGTTAGTGCTCCTCTCTTATACCTAAACTAAAATCAGTACGGGCGTAAACGGAGGCGACGAAAAGACACTTTATCTTCAGATGGGACTTCTTTTTACCCAAATAGTATGTTGAAGCCGAACCTCACATATACAGCTGTTTACCGTCATCCAACATGTCTACTGACGGCGATACCAGTCATTGATTCAATATCGCAAGTCGCGAAGAGTGTATTCGTTGGCAGATTCAGAACCAGGGAATTGGAGATTCCTCACAACGCTGTTATCGTGTATTTGTTTTTCGAAGACACAGCACACATCAATACCACGAAATAAAGGGTTAGAGTTAGTACTGCCTGTTAGCATATCTAACCTAGAGTGCGGACGTTAAAGGAGCCATTGCGAAATGATACTCTAGATTTGATGGAGGAAATACGTGTATCGAGGGCAGCAGCTGTGAAGTCAGCGACAGTTTCTAGCCCAATTTACGGGGTAGAAAAGAGTTGCAAGGGCAAATAAAACTCTCAGACTGTCCATTCCGTGAGGGGTTTTCTTCGAGCTGCCATACTTCTAGCTTTTTACTGGTCTGACCCACAAGGCAGTGGGGTACCTCGAGGTTGACTTGCCCTTGGCTCAATAGCCTAACGCTCAAGGCAGTGAGCGAGGTGGAATTTTGCTTTAGGGACTTCACCCGTAGCCTTTGGCTTAAAAACCTGACCCACAAGGCAGTGGAATGCAAGAACAGTTCGGGAGTGTTATTGCAGAGACCCCTTGGGATCTGCTTGAGGCTAGTCACACATCGTCTGCAGATTTAACATAATGCACATGTGTTTTATGGCCGCATTATTTTATGCACCTGCGACCTCGGCCTACCACAAATAGGAGTTGACGGGTTTGCACCACTTTGATCTAGGACTGCTTGGTTTGAAGTGGGCGGTAGCAATCCAATGAGCAATGTGTGGTCCCCTTTCTTCCTCAGAGACAATGTTTGGCGCTCATGCTCTACACCAATCGAACTATGAGCTTATAACTCGTAGACCTGTTGTCTCAAACGGCTAGGTTTTAAAGGAAGCGAGCCATCAACCTCTCCTTAACCTCCGTAGAGGATTGTGTGACAGAGTTAGTCTGAGTCCTAATCATTGACCTGTCTGGTATGAGTGGCTCTGAAGACACTTGGTAGGTGCCACTAAGTATTGCTCAGTGGGTCACCGAGCTACACAAACCATCGCACCACCTTAAGGTCCAGTCTCGTCACGATGTTTCGGCTACTGTTGCTCGGCCGCCACTTTTTGCTCATCTGTCTTTCATAAACATTTACTTAGACGCAGATGTGTCCACTTCCATCAGCATCACCTTTAGACTTAAGCTGAAGGTGAGAAACACTGCAACTATTGTACCACAATCTATAAAGATAAGACATACGGAAAAGCAACATACTAAGCATTATAGAACGCCAAAAAACAGGCTACACACGATTTAGTAACATGTTATGCATCAAGAGAGAGATCGTGGATGGATGGTGAAGATAAGCCTTAAGGGGACGGACAAGGAAACAACACAAGCACGACTGAGGTCGACTCCTTGACATGTCAACTAGTGTATCCAACCAGACGTATTCATCGTCCTTCGAACCCCAGTCAGGTAGTCGGGACACACCGCCTCCAGCAGCCGATTTATCCGCGCAATTTTTCACCTTTCTTGTACTCTTTGAAGCTTGCTTAGAGTGCTTTATACTTACACCCAGTGTTGCGAATATTGTATACATCTCGTCTAGGTGCTTCAAGCAGTTATCAGCCCGGAGTCTAAGGTTTCATACATTTGAGTTTTGAAGCCACTTCACTTCCTGTACGATAAACATGGTGGCGAACGCACGCGATGCTCCCACCAAATATGAGCTAAAATGTGAAAACACCACTGGCCGAACGTAGCTTGCCTCTTCAAGTCTGTCGATCTGATGGGACAGATTTCAGTACCACGCACTTGGGTTGAATGTTTACGCAACTTCGCGGGACCTTAACGTATTTTGATGGTTTGTGTGATTCAGAAGTTCTTTGAGCTATTTTTGGTGATGCTTTTTGCGTCTTAAGAGTAATTCGGACCAGAGACTAGACCAACTCACTCCCCTGGTACATCAGGTTGAGAGTTTGAATGAGGGTGGCTTCTTAATCCTTTTATTGGACACACTGTGTTCCTCTACCAAACTCCCACAGTTTTTGCACCAGTCGTTCTTCTTGCTAGGCCTGGGCTACCTGACAATATCCTATTTATGTAATACGGTAACCCCCTCACCTTTTCTTGATGTTCTGGCCTTCGTAAAGGATACTTAACGGCGCATTATCTGCCACAGTGAACAGAGTGGCTAATGATGATGATGCGACTGTCTTATTCGTCCTTTTACACTTTCCTGTTCATCGTGCCATTTCAAATTAGCTTTTATCCCCGCTATTTTCAACCCCCTAATTCTTGGACCTCCCTTACCTTGCTTTAGTAGGCGTTTGTCTTCTAGTATCAACACGCAATCGCAGGGTATTGCTCCGGTCCAACTAAGTGGACAACCTCAATTCATATTGGAGGTGCTTTGCGTTTGCTGCTCCCACTACCGAACCACCTCCAATTCGGATGATATATATATATATATATATATATATATAT